AACAATAGGGTACATTTTCACCCAAAATAAAGAAAATTATGAAAAATGTTTTTACTATTTTTATGTCACCACCATCATTGTTGACATATTGTTATTGTCTCCAACTTTTTTGTGGCGGTGTTCAGAGTTTGACTTTTGGTGTTTGGCATCAGTAATACATGTAACAAATGGCAGGTTGTTACATTTTGCATTTTGATGCCTTGTATTTATTTGTTTTGTGTTGAAATTTTACAGCAGCATCTGGACAATCAGGATCTAGATCTTCCAAACAATGAACAGCACCGGCATTTTATTTTACAGGTAAGCATTTCATTTTACAGAAGAACATTATCATATTACAGGTAAACATTTTACGACACGTAATATGAATTCATTTTATCAACCTTTCCAAGCTCAGTCCTTCAAGTTATGATAGATGTAATTAATTTATTTTCATTTAAATTATTGAAAAACATATTGCTTTTGATATGTATAAAGTATTGTATAAAATCATGGATTTCGTAAAAATTTCATGATCCCTTCAAAGACAGTATTGCTATATTATTCTCCACTCTATAGAATTTCAAAGGAAATCACAAATTCCAAATGGCTGCCTACAGCATGAATTCGCTATAATTAAGAGATCTGTCCAAAATATAATTACATTATCCTATATCTCAAATAACTCTCAAATATTGTTTGCAAATAAGGGTAGAGTGTAAATATATTGTGACATACAGTATAGAGATTTATGTATATTTTGTTTGTTTGATGGAGTCTGTAGAGTCGCAATTTTTCTAATTGAGCTCATAATTACCTCTTCTTCACACACCATTGTTTGTCACAAAATTCTACCATATAGTTTCCCAATACATCACTTCGATGTTATGTTTGAATCGATATAAACATATTCTTTGTACACTTTCCTTTATCTTGACATGAAATAAGGAGCTATGATGTTGGTAAATGCTCCAGAAATATAAATTAAATTATTCGAAGCATTTTTACAAAATTTGGAATCTGCCTTTTGTTTCTGTCAGCTCCCAATCAGTAAATGTCATTTAACCAATCAGGGTCAAGAACATAGTTGGGTTGTGTCAGTCATAGACCAATAAATGGGCTTTCATTTGTAGTTACATCACAAGAAAGTTAATTTGTCATCATTGATGATATTTAAAGCTGTAATCAATTTCATAAGGCCACCACCATTTAACACATTCATTTATTCCAAAAATCATTGTTTCTTTTTTGCCCCTATTGAGCAAAATATATTCAGAAAAGCTAGACATAACAAATTTTGTACTTAAAATGAACTTCCAATTTTAACAAGCAGGATGTTTTTGATTTACTTAATCAAAAAACATATTTTTTCCTCAAAAATGAAAAACAATTTTTTGAAATTATTTTGCTGTACTAATATTAGACCACACACTGTTTGTGTTAATTAAACATAAGTTTTTGAACTTTTATTATCTGTCTGTTTGTTGGTGATCTGTCTGGTTTCACTTTTAAAATGTGACTATAATATAAAATCTTCAATTGTCCTTTAAGTCCTGTGTCTCAAAAGCTCACCTCATTCACTTTACAAATAGGTTTAGGGCTTCAGAGTGTTGCATTAGGGGGTATCTCTGCAGTCATTATAGGATATCCTATGACTTTGAGGAATATCTTATTTTAACGTATTTTATCTACGAGGTGATATTGATATCTGCACGAGAGAGCAAAGCGAACGAGTGCAAAATCAATATCACCGAGTAGATTAAAATTATATTCTGAAAAAAATCATAGGATGTTCTTATTATCCTACACTTACAAGGAGTGTACTAAATGTATAATATCATTGCAAAATGAATTTCATGCCAAATAGAGTCAATTTGGCGGGAAATCAACAAGCGGAGTATATCGTCACACTATCCTCCGCATATTGGGTTTTCCGGAGTATATTGTCACGATATCCTCCGCCCGGAGTATATCATCACGATATCCTCCTGTTATTCATTTTGCCAATAGATATCAAATTTTTTTTTAATGTTATTATACATTTAGTACACTAAGTGTAGGATAATAGATTATATCAACTTGATATCAACACAGCAACAAAATTCAATACTCTCTTTAGGTGCCAAGATCTGATTAGGTTTGAGGCATGCTGGGTAAATTACTTGGCAGTCGTTTTGAATTTTTCCATAAATCTTGTCATCAGTATTCCTGGAAAACTTGCACTTATCCGTTAAACTTGAAAATTTTACAGATGGAAGAGCAGACTATTGCCAAGATTTGATTAGGTTTTGGGCATGCTGGGTAAATTACATGGTGATTATTTGGTCTTCAAAGTGCGATATTTATCACCGTGTGTCTTGTTAGTTTATGATCTCCGTAGAATATAGAAAATATTGTACCCTACAAAGTCTGTTTCATATTTGCTATATTTGGTTTTAAAATGTGTTTTCAACTGGAAATGATGACTTGCCAAAGCATGTGATATAGTGATGTCCAGCTCATTCTTGATTCTGTAGCTCATGCAGTGAAAAATACATGATATATTTAGTTATTTACATCACATCGGCCAATCAGATCATTTGGATTTCACTGTCATTGAATTAAAACCAATATTAACTAATTTGTGTGACGGTTTTAGCTATAAATGGAAAAATGGCCACAAATTTAAATTGTACTATTCAGACAAAATCATCAAATGGGCCTAATGACGTATGCATTCTTCTAGCTGTGAACTACTATTAGAGCTTTTTGAATGTTTATTAGAGCTAATGAATGCTAATTACCTCCTGATACACCACCCTGGGAGATGATGTCAATATTTCATGTTCATATTTTTTTTACTAATGTAATTTAGATGGGAATTGATATGATTTAGCTAGCATTCGCGAAAGCAACTTCTGGTTGCAGGATTAACCTATTAATATGCATAAATGAACATAAATGAAGTTGAAATGACAAACAACTCTCTAGTCATCTCACAGTGATCATGTGACTCTTTATGCAATTGTAACATCTATGTGCTAAATGTACTTCTCCTCTAATTGCAATACTGAATACATCCTTAGTCGGTGTTAGTTGCTGCTTAAAGGCAGATTAAACCATTATTTAGGTGACCTATTGGGCTTGACGTGGTAGCTTGCAGCTTCTGGAATTCATGGCAGGTTCATACCTGTATGTAAATGATTAGGTCATCCAATTGCAGTACACCTGTAGTTGGCAGTTGCATTCGTGAATGCCACCTCAGTTCAATAATATTTAGTCCAATGACCTTAATTTGAATGGTGTTTGTTTGTAGATTGCCCAAAAGTGTAGTGTTTGTTTGTAGATTGCCCTAAAGTGTGCTGATATATGCAATCCATGCAGGAACTGGGACCTCAGCCAAAAGTGGAGTACATCTATATGTCAAGAGTTCTTTCAACAAGGTTAGTGTCCTATGAAGAAGATGAGGAATCATACAAGTGATAATAAACATGAATACTTGTTCTATATATTTAAGGAATAAAGACCGATATTTTATGATTTATGGCGTAATATATGACTGAAAATTTTATTCTGTTCATTGTTAACCCTTTCCCGACGTGAATATAAGAGGAAAATGTTGGCCCTGGTGACGGATAAGTAAGAGCAGATTTTAGGGGAAAACTGAAAATTACCTATGCCCAGGGACCTATAACTTGAATTTTATGCACTGAAATACATTTTTTAGTAAGGACTATCGTATTAGAACAACTTGTCAAAATTTGGTGTAAAAATACTGAATAGAACTGGAGATATTATCATTTCATCGATGTATATAAATAAAAATTATGGTGCCAAAAGGAGCCTATCGTCCTGAAAGGTATTACATAATAGGGCACCATATGGAGCCCATCGTCGTGAAAGGGTTAAAAGACCAAATTGTGTAGCGATTGAGGTCTTTGGCAATGCCCAGAATCAAATTTGAGGCCCAATCTCCATATAATATATGGGAGGTCGAAAAAACTGAATTTTCCCTCATTTTGAGATCTCTCCAATTATTTTACTCAAATCATAGTAATTTAAGAGTATTGTCTTGTCTTTATAATCTGTGCCTATGATTTTCTACTTTGAACATAGATCTGTACCCACTGTATGTGAGATATTATGTTATTCATTTGATCAGAATGAATGATTTTACATTGATTTTTCACCTTCAAATCTTCAAATCGTTATATATTGGAAATGTTTTGCAGGTGACATTGAGCGAGAGCTAAATATTCCTGTGACGCCTTTCTGTGATAAGTTGTCAACTACAACAGCAAAGATACAAGTGGGTAGGTATATTGGTGTGATAAAAATGGTTGACTACAAATAATATACTTAAACATAGCATTGATCGAGTTTGGCCCAAAGGTCACAAATCAAATCTATCTCATGATTCCTAGGCAGCCAGTACCATTTGATCATCGTGTGGTCTTCAAACATATCCAACGTATATGTGTCTGACCATGGAATATTCTTGGTCTTGTGTAGAAATGATTTCTCTGGCTTACTGCTACCATG